AAATAGAGTTTACAAATACAGAAACACATGGGAAGATGTTTGTGTCAAATTCCCACACCAACAGCTTTCTTCTAGTCAAAATGATTGGTGGCTGAGTGGGTATAGTGTGGGGAAAGAGGGAGAAATTAAAGGGGGCTAATAGGGTGCTTTGGTGTTTTATGATGTTTAAATTGAGAGAGAGAGAGAGAGAGAAAGAGAGAGAGAGAGAGAGAGAGAATGAGAATTACAGTTCTAATGAAAACTAGTTAAACCATGATGAAAACTATGTAAAAATATGTATGGGGACAAGGGCTTTAAAGTAATATGCAAACATGAAAATAATTGTGTTGGGGAGGTAGGATTATGGATGATTTCCTCCTAAACCCTTAATACTGTCCCACATTTTCAATAAAATGTTTGAACTTTCAAATTTTGTTTCTTGCTGTTATAAAATCACATTTCTTTAAAATTCTTGTTTGTTGTCCATCACAGCAGTTTTTAGGACAGCAAACGCCGGACACCACCTAAATGTGTTCGAGGTCTGAGGAAACAGGCTGTGCTCCAGTCACAGTGATGGAACACCATACAGCCATTTAAAGGGGGACCCAAATCTGAACGTGTGGCTATGGAGCGACTGCCAAGAAAGAGTAAGTGAACAAAGGCAGGTGTAGGGCAACGTGTCTAGTTTAAATATGTGTGTGTACAGACACACACGCGCATACCTATCCGTGGAAAACTGCTGAACGGCTACCTGAGAAAGCTGGTAATGGCTCTCTCCATCTGGAGACGGGAGCTGAGCACCCGAGACAGAGTCACTTTTCAAACTCCTATACTGTTTGAAAAACCATGTGTGTGTGTGTGTGTGTGTAATATAATATACCTGTATCACTATTATAAGTTCTATTAACTTTCTAGGTATTGTTCTAAGGGTATTCTTCTTAAGTGGCTTGAAGATAGAGAAACCAAAAGTCCTATTCTTGTCCTCATACTTAGAAAACAGACAATCTGATTATGCCTAGAGTTGTCAAAATGTGGAGGCAAAGTGTGAAAAAACGAAATATGCTCATCTTTCAGAGGAGATCTACTGAGATGAACATACATAAATGCAGCCGAAGAACTGGGTCAGCCTCCCACCAGGCCAGCCCAAATAAAGCAGCAAGAAAACAAGATGCTCACTCTTCCCTGCTTGGAGGGCCCAGGGTGCTCTGTCTCTGAAAAGACCCACAGAACCATATCATCTCCCAAATATTCTGCACAGAATTTGGCCCAAAGCATTCCCATGTCTCTTAGGGCCCAGACCAGTATTCTAGAGCTTCAAGGGACCAAAGCAAGCGTGCCTGATTATGGACAGACTTGGACAAGAGATGCCACTTAAACATCTTCAGGCCTCCCATCCCTGGGTCCCGATGCCCGTGTTGGCTCTGAGGTACTCTGGAGCCAAAAAGACTCGTAGAGGAATCGGAGATGAGAATGGGCCTCGATGGGAAGATGGCAGGAAAGACTATGGGGTTGGGCACTCAGGGAAGATGGCAGACAACAGACAAAGGGTGGTCCCAGGACACAGCTGAGGGACAGGCTGACTTAGTGAGCCCATTACTTCTCTCCCAAACATACTGCCTCAAAGAACTTCAAAGGCAAGCATTTTCTTGGTTAAATTAAAAATCACTGTGTTCAACAGTTTCTCATAGTTTTTGATACAGATGAAGAATATGTTCCTTATCACTGCCATGCATACTAATCTGGTCAACTCTCGTCTATTCAATTTTTACTTCATTTGCAAGAGGGCTGTGCGTGCATGCGTGCGTGTGTGTGTGTCTGTCTTTCCCCCTCACTCTCTCTGATCTTTGTCCCATTTCGTAGATTACTAGAACCTATACCAGTGACATAAGGCAAGAAAGCCCATTTATAAACCATTCTGCTATATGCTGCTTTTAAAAAAACAACAACCATAGTTATAATGATACCTGTGAATTTGATTAGGTCTGCTTTGCCCGGTGACCACACGGTAACCCAAACTGGCTGCATTTCTGGGAAGTAAAATGTCTTCTCTGCTTTCTCTCTGTTTAAGTGATCTTAATCCTTTTTAACCAGCAGGCCCCTTTATGACTACTCTGAAGTGGGGGATAGATGGGACTCTGTTGATTGGGGAGGATTCTCAGGCTCCTGCCCGCTGTCTAATTCTACCACCCAAAGATGGATGGCGCTGTCATCATGGACCTTCCTCACAGGGTTTATTTTTAAATATCTCATTATTTCAATGCTATTTTCTCCAGATTTTCCATAATGTTCGTCAAATCTGAAACTCCGAACTGGAACGCAGAGTCTAGCACAGATGTGACACAGCCTGGTGTAGGATCACCTCCCACCTATTTTCTGTGGAGGTCTGCTTTCCTCCGGAGGTACCATCATTCCAGCTGCTGTCCACGCACAGGCTGACCTCACCAGCCTGCAGAGCAGCTGCTGACTCATGCTTAGACTGGGATCGCCCAGAACCCCGGCTCCTCTTCTGTCCTTCAGCCAGGACAGCCACCACCCGTCACATAGAGCACTCTGCCCATCACCTTCTGGGGGCTCAGCTCTGATGAGAAGTCTCCCGCAAGTGCACATCGCCTCACCTGGCCCTGCCCCTGCCCCGGCCCACCTGGAAGACGTCATTGGCACACTTTCGGCACAGGTTGTGCTGGCAGGGCAGGATCACCACCGGTTTGGAGAACATCTCCAGGCAGATGGGGCAGATAAGCTGCTTCTCCAGGTTGTCCATGCTGTGCGCATCCCCTAGCAGCGGCTTGAAACCCACTGCGAAGTTCATCCCCTCAGTGCTCCTGCCGCCCCGGGCCCTGGCCCTGCCCTGGCCCTCCCTCACTGCCTCTGGACCCTTCCTGGTTTACTTCCGACAGGCTGTGGATTCTTGTGTTCCCTTTTGTTGCTCACTCTTGAAATAGCTCTGCTATCTCTCTCGTCCCCTTCTGAGAATTCCCCTCGTCCTTAGCTGTTTTCAGGCACTTCTCCTCTTTCTCTTCTTTGCTCTGTGCTGCAGCCAGGCGCACGCAGCTTGCTCTACCCCTCACTCCCTGAGTAGCTCTGTCCCTGGAAATTTCTCCTTTTGTTCCCAAACGACTCTTGCTCACTCTATGGGCAGCACTCTTTGTCCCTCACTCCCCAGAGAGGAGATTAATTTTAACGTGGGGGTGGGGAACAAGGGGATCTGTGTGACATTCCAACTCCCAATTTAGCTCATGTAAGGCGAGCCACAGCTGTCACCAAATGAGTGACCCTGACTCACTCGGGAATGGGTGACTCTCTTGAGCAAGAGCTGCTTACGGTGAAAGGTGGGCAGCAAAGGTATTGAGCTCTCACTTGTGCCCACTCAGAGGGCTCCTGTGAGCCAGCCCCTCAGCCCCAAGCTCTGGCTTGGACCCTTCTTCCAGGGCAGTGATAGAATCTAAGTTGGCCTGTTTGAGAGGGACCACACATGGGCTCAAGGTGAGAGGGTAGATCTTACTAGACCTACAGTCAGTAAAAATGTCTGTCTCCAAGGCTTAGCCAGTGACCCGGGCCCTCTTCCTCTGAACCCCATGATCCAGAACAGGACACCAGAGACTGGGGAGAGGCTCTGGTCCAACACTTCCGGTCCACTTTTGTTCTTGCCCAGAACTGTCTTATATCGCCCTAGGAAAAGCAGCTCTGGAAGCTAGAGTCGGTGTTGTGTCTGGGCCCAGAGCAACCTCATGAGCTTGCCCACGAGGAAGTGTGGCCTTCTAGTCTGTGAACACATCCTTGGAGCCACTTCAAGGACTTTAGATTTATTAGGAAAGTGAGAGAAGCCGAGCTGGGCAGAGAGGGCCTGAGTGCCAGGGACCTATTTTGAGTCCCAGGGGAATCAGCCTCCAGGGAAATTTTAGAGCCATGACAAAGTCTAATCACAAGGCTCTGTGAGGCCTCTGTCCTGACTCCACAGTTGTCCTGGACTCCCACTCCAAGGCGACTGGTCTCAGATGTGAGCACCGGTCCTCTATCTTTTTCTCCAACAGGCGTTCTTCTCTACCCTAGGCACGATTTGCCTTTTGGGGGCCCCACATATGCACTGGGATCGGACAAAAGCTCTTTTATTTACTGCCGTTCTTTAGCCCTTCTCCCAGATGGGAGAGACAAGTATGAGGAGTTACTAGACTCTGACCCTGGGTGGACAGGAAATAAATGGTGTGGAGAGGATACCAAACAGGCTGTGCGAAGAGGCATGAGTGGGGAAAGCGTCTGTACAAGTACAATCTATTCCCCATCACATGTTTCATGCCTGTTTTAAAAACAAAATGCACAGTAACCAGCCTGCATTCGATGTGGTGAAAGGATGGAGGCAAATAGGCCCTGCTGTGTGAACTTCAGGAAGCCCACGGTACCCATGCTGATGGGGGCTTTGTTGGTAGCTGCAGTCCAGGGACAACCCAAAGGTGGGAGAACTACCCCTAAGCCTCCAGCGCATTCATGCATTTCCCAAGCTGAGTCATGGTGACATGGAAGGAGGCTGGCATGCCAAGGGTATGGGTACCGCAGAAGGTGAGGACAGCCCCAGAAAGGTGCATTGGCTTAGGAATGAGGCTGCTGCTAAGAGTTCTTGTACACAGAGTTGCAACAAGGGAGGGTGAACTGGTACCACAGCTCTGGGACAGGATACACTCTGCTCAGCTTTCAGGATCTTGGTGGAAATATCACAAGTGGCTCAGGGACCCTACCCAGCTGACACTGGCTCAAATCCTAGGAAGGCACAGAAAAAAGGGTGCTTTGGAAAAGTCTGTCACCACTGCCTAAGACCTCTTGAGGGTAGGAATAACAGTCTCTCTCTAACAGATTAAAATTGGGATTGGAGCTAAAAAGAAGAATAGCTGGGTAACTCTGTATGGCCAGGGTCAGTGACACCATCAAGAACAGAGACTGCATCCTCACTGGGATGGATGCCATCTATGCTTCAAGAGTTGGGATTCTCACAAGATGAGGGGCAAATCAGGGTCAATGTCAGGACAGGGCTACTTGCTCTTCTCTTCAATGTATCCAGTAGACTGGGCAGCAAAAGGCACCTTCATTGGGTCAGCACCTAAAGACTGAAGTTGGCATCTTATTAAACAAAAGGAATGAGCAACCAGAATGTAAAGCAAACCTCCTATAGGTAAGGATATAAACACATACACTCCAGCCTTGGCCAGTTATGCTCAGTGGCTAGAGCTTTGGCCTGTAGACTGAAGGATTGTGGGGTTAATTCCTGGTCAAGGGCACATACCTGGGTTGCAGGTTCAATCCCTGGCCCCGGTCGGGGTCGTGTGGGAGGCAACAAATCAATGTGTCTCTCTCACATGGATGTTTCTCTTTCTCTCTCCCTCTCTCCATTCCAGTCTATCTAGAAAATCAACAGAAATGTGTCCTTGAGTGAGGATTAAAAAACAAAACAAAAGAAAACCTACTTATAGTCCATCCTATACAGGTATAAACTTTCCACTAATGACTTATCTGAAGTTAGTGTATATTCTTTTTTATTTGTTGTATTTCAGTTTTCATACCTCACTCTTCTTCATCTCTTAATTATCATCGTCACTATAATCATCTTCCTCTTTTGTAAAATTTTCTTTGTCTCCTATGATGGAATTTGAGAAACACATATATGAACATTTAATAACAATTTTTTAGTCTGCTGGTGGGAACACCACTGCTTTGTGGTCCACATTAGCATCATTAGGTGGCACTGGTGTGATTCCAGTTCACTCAACTTGACAGTTTAACTAACTGAAGTGGGATCATCTCAGACGCTTCCTCTTCCTTTTGAATAAACAAAATAAACTATATCCTCTAAGCTGTCTTCAACTACTGCCCTTTTTAAAAAATAATTTTTAAATTGATTTTTTAGATAGAGAGGAAGAGGGTGGGGGAGAATTAGAAACATCCATGAGAGAGAAACAATGATTGGCTGCCTCCTGCGTGCCCCATACTGGGGATCAAGCTGGAAATCTGGGCATGTGCCCTGAATGGGAACTGAACCAGTAACCTCTCGGTGTATGGGATGACACTCACTCCACTGAGCCACACTGGCCGGGCAACTACTGCCTTTTCTAGGCACACTCTCCTACCCATTTCTTACCTTAACTCCCACCACTCCTTAGCTTAACCATCCAGAGGCCAACATTACATTCAAATTGCCAATTTGTAGCATAAGCCCCCCTTCAGGAACCAAGTGTCTCCCCTTCTCTTTCTTCACTTTGTCCCAATGTCGGCTTGAGACTCTCATATTTAGGGATTGACAGTTCCACTCCCAACCAATTTTTTCATTCCTAATCCAGCTCTTACCTCAGTGCGTGGCTGTGGTTCTCACCTGATCTCTTAGGCTGAGTATGGACGTCCTGCTGGTATTTTCTCCTCAACTCCTCCTCGGGTGGCGGCTTAAGTGTTCCACAGCAAAAGCAGCAGCAGCAGCAGCAGCAGCAACAGGTGAGCAGAATACACAGGAGGACAAGCGTCTAAAGGTAGGAAAGAATGACCTCAGTCCAACAGTTCCTCTATATATCCATTCAAGCTCCCCTCCCTCCATCCTCCCAGCACCCAGAAAATGAGACAACAAAAGCATTCGTCCTAGGAGAGAAGGGTCAGGTGTCCTAAATGAAGAGGGTTACCTCTCCTTCTTTATTCTTAAAGGATTAGGAAGAATTGTGTACCTTGAACCAACAACTATTCATCACAAAATAGTATCTGACACCTTCTTCACCAAAGTGGTCATATAAATATATTCCCAATGAACCATGCTTGTCGTAGATTTTCCGCTTCTTAGGGTCGCTCAGTATGGAGTGGGCTGTGTTGATCTCTTTGAATATTTCTGCTGCTTGAGTGTTCCCTGGATTCTTGTCTGGATGATACTTCAAGGCCAGTTTCCTACCCAGGCAATACCCAAAAGTGGGGTGGGGAGAGAATAATAAGTAGCTGGCGAAGGAGGGTTAGGATGAATAACGGGGATAGGTTTCTTTTTTTTTTATGTTAGAGCACAAAGGAGGGAGGGGCTGGCTCTACTGGGGGCAGGTCAGAATCAGCAAAGTGTTCTTATTAGAGGTGAAACTTAATCAGGGTTTGAAGTACAAGTAAGAGGAGGGGGAGGCCTGTGCAAGATGGGGATACATTTGTAGTTAGTGAGGAAGGAATGCATTAGATGTGGTATAAAGAATGGAGGCAAAGAGCCCAAGTTTAAATTCCTTCCCATGCCACACTGAAGAGGATATCCTGGTGGCCCCATCCAGCTCCTAACTGGGTTTTTTAAAGGGCCAGAGAGCAAGGTAGAAAGAAATGGGTTTAAGGGTAGAAATTCCAGAGTTTAATAAGGGGCTGAGGTCTGAACCTGTAGGCCTTTTTGATGTCTTCAGGTGAGGCGCCCTTCTTAAGCTCCAGCACTGCATAAAGGGTTGTCCCAGTTTGGGACAGCCGGCGGGCTGCTTCATCCACATGAGACATGATCTGGGTCAGAGGAGAAGAAGCATTGTGAGAACTTCCACAGGTGAGGTTGCAGACAAGAGAACTTCCAGTGACAGGAATCTCTTTGCCTTCAGGTGCTAGGTGGGTAAATGACTACAAAGAGACAAGTATAAAACAACAATGAGTGGGATCTGTGACTAGCTGGAGAGTTCAGGTGACCAAAAAGACATTCAAATTCAAATATTTCTTTTCTTTTTTCTTGTTTATATTAATTTGAGAGGGGGGAGAGAGAGAGAGAAACATCTATTTGTTCCGCTTATTTATGCATTCTTTGGTTGCTTCTAGAATGTGCCCTGACTGGGGATCAAACCTGCAACCTTGACCATCCAGAGGATGCTCTAACCAAATGAGCTACCCGGCCAGGGTCAAATTTAAATTTTAAAGAGGAAACATCTCACATTTTCTAGTGTTCTTCAGCTAGCAGACCTCCAGACACCCCACATCCTAGAGAGTTGTAAGCAAGGGGAGGTTCTCAACATGGTAAGAGATTGATTTTGTTCAGAGCTTCTAGCACCTTAAGTAATCAGCCCTGGTCTTGTCCGAACTCATTCCTAGGCTTGAGAAACCAGTGCACCTCAGCCCCTGAACTGGTTGGGTCAGAAATCAGCGAGATCTACAATTCCCAAGGGAGAAGCAATTCAGACCAAACACTGAGCCGCCTAAGAGAAGTCAGGTGTCCAGAGCCAGCCAGAGAGCAGTGCTACTGCTAGACCACAGGCTTTATTCTTATCCCCAGCTTCCCATCTCAACTCATCCCACCTCTGCCCCTCAGAGACAGGGCGGTGGAAGAGAGGGATAAAGAGGGAAGTGGAAAGGGGTAGCTGTCGGGCGACCAGCCAGGGAACAGGGAGGAAGACCCCAGCCAGTGGGGAGAGCCTGAGAGGCTGTGGCCCGGCAGAACCAAGGAACAAGCTCAGAAGGGAATACTCTGGTCCCCCAGATCTCCTCTGGCTGTGCGGGCTCCCCACGGAGCATGGCGCTCTACCTCCGAGTCCTCTTTTCAGCCGGTAGGCCGTACACAACCTCCGCCACGGTGTGAAACTTCACACGGCTGGGCTCCAGCCGCCCACTGCGCTTGCGCACTGCGTCAACACTGCCGTTCGTTTTTTGGCGCCACCGGAAGGTCTGGGAGGTAAGGTTGAGGGAGTCCTGGGATTTATTTCGCTCGCGGAAAACCTGAGCGCAGGGATACGCCAGGCGCCAGCAGCCAAGGGCAGCATGGCGTCTTTCCCAACCCCTTCTGCGGGCGCAGCCTCCAGGGGCGGCTCTTCTCTGGTGGAGGGCATCACCTGTCCTGGCCGCAGTCCTGGCAAGATCATGGGCCTGCAGAACGCAGCCGTGGGAGAGGTGTGGTTGTGCATGCCCTTCTCAAGACGCGTGTTACCTTCCCCGGTCGTCTTTTTCAGAATTTAGGAGAATCCACTTCTTTCTTTCCTTTCCACCTGGAAACTCCTGCACGTCCTTTAAGACCCACCTCAAATATCAGTATTTCTGGGAATCCTCCCTGCACTCCTCCAGTTATTACGACCTTGCTCTGTCAAAGTATTTATCCTATTACATTGTAATTATTCGTTTGCACGTTCCTTTAAAACACTATCTTAAGAAGTTACTGCTGTTGTTCAAAAACTTCCTTTAAATACTATTACATCATGACTGTGTACCATAATGCAATTATATAATCCAGATTGGATAATGAAGTTTCTAATCATCTGATAGTATAATGACCTTATAATGAAAATTCTTATCTATCAATCTTTAAATAAATCTCCCCCTTTTCCCTTGGGGTAGATTCCTGGAAGCGGAATTATTGAGTCAAAGTGAGATTTTTTGAGGCCATTGATCCACATTCCTATCTCCCTTCCCAGACAGGTACCCAAAGTACCAATTTACATCCCTAACCAATTTCCATTCTACCTACAGGACATTAGAGCACCCGTCTCTACCTGGCATCACTTCCCATGATCTCCTACAGGAAGTAGTATTTGCAACACTACTAATTTACCACTTCATGATATTGGAGAGGAAAACTCAATGGTTCCTACATCATGTAATTGAAAGAGTTTTATTAATTCAATACTATTTCTCTGTTACCCCTCTTGTGGCTTTTTACCACTCTCTTTTCTTTAATACAGTTATTTGTGCACATTTCCCCCCCTTCTATGTTTTGAGTGATAAATCAATACTCCACCCCAAGAGATGTGAACCATCTGAGAAAACTAACTAAGGAGTCCATATATAACAGGCACAGTGACGACTGAATTAACTAATTTATTTCTGTAGGTCTGTGATCAGGGTGGGATAGGAAAATCTTTGGCATCACCCACCCAGCTCATAGGTTCTGGGTCCAATGAGTTCAGAGGTTAGTGACCTAAAGTGAAGGAGCAAAAACTGACAATTTTGGGGGGGTTTGTACTATGCTAAATTTCTCTAACCTCCAACCTTTTTTTTTTTTTTTTTAATCCTCACCAGAGGACTTTTTTGCATTTATCGACAGACAGAGTGGGAGGGAGAGAGAGAGAAACATCAATGTGAGAGAGACACATAGGGTGGTCACCACCCACACTACCCCACCTGGGGCCAGGGACAAACCACAACCAAGGTATGTGCCCTTAGTGGGTACCAAACTCGGGACTCTCTGGTCCGCAGGCCGACACTAACCGCTGAGCCAAACCGGCCAGGGCTAACCTCCAACCTTTCATCACCATCATGGGAAGACAAAACCAGCAGAACAACACAAGTAGTTTCTTCACTAGCACAGGGAAGAGAGTAGAAGTCATTAGAAGTGCAGTGCACTTACAGCGATATTTTTCCATTTTTTGTACAGATAGAGTGGGAGGGAGAGAGAGAGAGAGAGAAACATCGATGTGAAGGGACACATCGAGTGGCTGCCACCCGCACGACCGACCAGGGCCGGGGACAAACTGCAACCGAAGTACGTGCCCTTAGCGGGAACCGAACCCGGGTCTCTCTGGACCGCAGGCCGACGCTCTAACCGCTGAGCCAAACCGGCCAGGGCCGTACTGTTATTCTGTCAGTGCTTTGACGACATCTAGTTCCCTTCCATTTTAAGGACATTTGGCTACGGTGCTCCCTTGGCCTGGAGGACTCCTCCCCGGGCTGTTTGCTGTACAACTTCTCATTCTTCGTGGATCTCAGCTTCATGCCTCCTCAGAGAGGCCTCTCCCCCCACCTCATCATATCCTCACAGTGGTTTGTGAATATATGTTTATTGGCATGTCGATTTATTTAACATCTGTATTTCCCAGTTGACAGTGAACTCCATGAGGGCCTGTTTGTTTACCATTGTATCCCCAGCACCTAGAACCATGGCTGGCTCACAGTAAACAAATTAATGATTGTTGAATAAGCTACAGCGGAGGGAGCCCTCTGCTGGTTCAGTGTAGACTCAGAGGTTGGCCCATAGCAAGAGGCAAAGAGAAAGGAGGGTAGTAGGAGAGATGGTAATGGTGATTCTGAGCTTCTTGTTTCTTGTTTGTGTTAGTCTTCATCCAGTTCCTAACACAGTTCCTGGAATATTATAGGTGCACAATAAATATTGGCTGGTTGAATGAACTAGCAAACTTTTGTGCATCTTTTCACATTTAGTCTCTCCTGGAGAAAAGAGGTCCTTTTTCCCAATGATCTCCTTTGATCCTCAGACAGCCCTGTGTGATCGCATCCCTGCTTTATAGAAGTGAGTGCTGAGGAAGAGGGCATATTAGGTGCTCTAAAGAATAGTAAATACCTTTCATGTCTTGCCAGAGGCTACAGAATGTTATTACTTCTTATCATTGCCCTCTGACATTTTAATTAATTCTAATTATAGTTTGTGGCTCTTGAAATAGCCATTATCTTTAAGTTTCTGATCCTCTGCTCTAACTGAAATGATGCTGCAGCCAGTAGGCTGCAGAGGTGGGAAGAGAGCAGGCAAGTCATCCTGGTATCCTTCAGCCAGAGGCTTTCCACTTGGCCTTGACCTAGAAACAGACCCTCTTTGGCTCTGTTTCCTATGCACAATGTATCTTCTGACACCCAACATAGAACTAGGAAGAACACACAAGCCAGGAGTCAAAAACCCTATTTCTGAGTACTCATTCTGGTTCTGACAAACTGTGTCATCTGGGCCAAGTCACATAATCTCCGAGTCTCATTTTTCTCTTCTATATAAACCTGTGTCATTTCCAGGGTTGATGTCAAAACTAAATTAGATTTGGTCTAAAAAGGATGGAAAAAACAAAAATAAGTATGCTAAAGAATGAGTACAGCCTAAAACCTGTTCTGGGATTATTTGCCCTCTTACCATACCTTGAGTCAGGGATCTTCTAGTTTACTACCTTACAGAGCCATTTGGTCTCTCCTGGAGAAAACCAAGAAGCATCCTTTATTTACCCACAAACAACTGAAGTTTTAGTCATATAGCTGGAATGCACACTTACAGACAGCTGACACTGGCATATTTATACCCAAAATATCATGCTCTCAAACATATGCAGTGGGAGAGAGAGATCATAATTTGTCATCCCCAACCACCAGGTTCTAGAATTGTGCAGTTTTTAAGCTGGAAGGGACCTCAGAGACTGAATTCTTACCCAATGCCTTGATTTTGTAGTTGAGGAAAGTGCGGCTCGGGGATAAAGATTGACCTGCTCAAGGTCCACTAGTGAGGTCCGGATCTAAGTCTTCTGACTCCAAGTTCAGTGTCTGTACCGTGACTGCTTCTTATACATACTGGCTCTCTCTAAAATCTAGGTTAGAGACAGGCCAAAGCTGTAATCAATACTCACCTCCTTTCATGGATGATGTCAGGAAATGTCCCTCCCCCCCTCCCCCCAGTTGAAGGCACGTATTCTACATGTGACCAAAAAAATATCACCATCCCAGGTTGTCTGCCTGGCCTCCCCAGAGCAGACATCTCAGGGTGGGAGGTGGAGGGTTTCCAGCTAGAAAGATACTTCATACCCACGTGCTCTCTGACCTGC